AAAACATCACCAACCGGCAACATCAACGTACCACTGTCAACAAGCACAACATCACCAACATCGCCAGTAACATCAACAGTACCACTGTCGACAAGCACATCCTCAGCAGCAACATCACCAACAACACTTTTGACATCAACGACAAAACATCAGCAACATCAATGCTTTCAACAACACAGTCAGAAACATCAACAATACCATCAACAACACACTCAGCAATATCAACAATACCACCAACAACATCAACAACACAATCAGCAACATCAGTACCACCAAGAACACTACAATCACAACCACCAACAACTCTACCAACAACAACATTATGGTCAACCTACAAATATCTACTCGGGCCTGGTCTTTTAGTGCTTTCTTTCACATTAGCAGTGATCGCCTGCGTCTTCGCTGCCGTCACTCGACGGAGATACCAGCAGCTGCTGACACAGAGAGGTAAGATAGTCATCCCAGGTCACTCTTTCAGAAAGTAGCAACGGTTCTTAAGTAAAACTGGTATGTGGTCGGATGTAGCTTAAAGTCACTGTTGAAATAACTTTAAGTACCACTGATTTGGTCAATAATCGTTAAGATGTTATAATTTTTCTCTCCTTTCAAGGAAGTGTTATGATTATAGTGAAATAAATGGAAACTTCTAAAGCTGTCTTTCCCTTCCCATTCCAAAGCATTATACAGCTCTTCAGGTTCAACTCCAGTAATAATTCTGCCCTTTTTACAGGCCCTAGTGTTGCTCCAGAGACAGAGAATAACGAGTATGAGGAGTGGAATGAGAGCTGGAAGATGCAGCCAGTCATTACAGGCAGTGAACAACATTCATTAAATGTGTCATCACTGACAGTTACCCCTCACCGATCTGGATCAACTCACGACAGTGAAAACAGTCTCTATGGCGTCATCTGAAAATTAATATGTCTGTCTTTATAAAGATTCACTCAGCCTTTCAAACGTCAGATAAATGTAAAGTGTAGAGAGTCTGTTACAGGAACCTGGTATGTGTATGCAGACTAAAAGAAACAGCAACAGGAGCTCATTACCTTGTGTGTCTCTAAACTCGACTGTCTAATGAACCAGACGTGAGCTATCAAGGTTGACACCGCTTCCCCAATCTGGTAAGAATCAAATCACATTAATAAATCTAAATGGGGCCATGAAACGTCGACGAGCAATTACCTAATTCCTGAGCTTGCTACCATCTGCAGCTCATAAGACTGCCATCCCCACGAGCCCTTTTAGGGCGGGGCAGATGGCAGACCAGAGGCCTAGCTTCTCCCTACGAGCCCCGTGAGGGCGGGGAATGTGGCTAGGCCTGGGGACAGTTGGTCCCAAAGATGAGGGGGTACTTGTACCTCCTCCCATGGGAGACTTAAGTCTCGAGACACTCCCCAGATAGGGAACCAAGGCCGGGTCACCACTACTTGGAAAAGACCCGGGCCGGGAGAGTACCGGCGAATAAAAAAAAAAAAAAAAAAAAAAAAACTAATTCCAAAGGAGAAGCTACTACTTGTACTAACTCCAGCCTCCTTCACAAACATATATAAAAAATTAAACCCCAGAAATCTTTCATTACTGAAAATATACCTTAGCCAAGGATAACCTAAATAAAACTTAATACTGTACTGCGAGGCCTGGTCATTGACCGTGGCGCGGGGGCGTTGACCCCCGGAACACCCTCCAGATGTACACACTCGTATATTAACACTTGCGAACTGTATACAAGCCGATATCCTCATCCCCAGTTAAATAAGTTACTGAACAAAGGAGACATGAAGTAAACAAAGCTGCAGGAACAGAGACCATAACAAATAAAAATATTTTTTACAGAATATTATTTCACGGGGAATAGACGGCCGGTGTTCAAATGAAATTTATTTTTTGATCTGGAGTAGAGAAGAACCAGGAGTTAAATATGAAAATCTCAGGTAACCAGACATGTAATTCACATTTCATCGATGGGATCAAAGATATAGAGAGAAAAGTAGCAAAGCTAAGATAGAAGGAGAGGGAAATACAAAGGCGACTACAGAACTAAGGGTAGAGTGGCAGGATACAGTTCACCATTAACCAGCAGCAACCAGGAGTAACTACCAACAACCAGGAGTAACAACCAACAACTAGGAGTAACAACAACCAGGAGTAACAACCAACAACTAGGAGTAACAACAACAACCAGGAGTAACAACCAACAACTAGGAGTAACAACAACAACCAGGAGTAACTACCAAACAACCAGGAGTAACAACCAACAACTAGGAGTAACAACAACAACCAGGAGTAACAACCAACAACTAGGAGTAACAACAACAATCAGGAGTAACTACCAACAACCAGGAGTAACAACCAACAACTAGGAGTAACAACAACAACCAGGAGTAACAACCAACAACTAAGAGTAACAACAACAACCAGGAGTAACTACCAACAACCAGGAGTAGCAACCAACAACCAGGAGTAACAACAACCAGGAGTAACAACCAACAACCAGGAGTAACAACCAACAACCAGGAGTAACAACCAACAACCAGGAGTAACAACCAACAACCAGGAGTAACAACAACAACCAGGAGTAACTACCAACAACAGGAGTAACAACCAACAACCAGGAGTAACACCAACAACCAGGAGTAACAACCAACAACTAGGAGTAACAACCAACAACCAGGAGTAACACAACAACCAGGAGTAACAACAACAACCAGGAGTAACTACCAACAACCAGGAGTAACTACCAACAACCAGGAGTAACAACCAACAACTAGGAGTAACAACAACAACCAGGAGTAACTACCAACAACCAGGAGTAGCAACCAACAACCAGGAGTAACAACAACAACCAGGAGTAACAACCAACAACCAGGAGTAACAACCAACAACCAGGAGTAACAAGCAACAACCAGGAGTAACAAGCAACAACCAGGAGTAACAACAACAAACCAGGAGTAACTACCAACAACCAGGAGTAACAACCAACAACCAGGAGTAACAACCAACAACCAGGAGTAACAGCCAACAACCAGGAGTAACAACCAACAACCAGGAGTAACAACCAACAACCAGGAGTAACAACCAACAACCACGAGTAACAACCGACAACCAGGAGTAACAACCACGAGTAACAACAACTACGAGTAACAACCAACAACCAAGAGTAAAAATCAACAACCAGAAGTAACAACCAAGAGTAAAAACCAACAACCAGAAGTAACAACAGCAACCAAGAGTAAAAACCAACAACCAGTAGTAACAACCAACAACCGTGAGTAACAACCAACAACCAAGAGTAAAAACCATCAACCAGAAGTAATAACTAACAACCAAGAGTAAAAACCAACAACCAGAAGTAACAACCAAGAACCCACCATTCTCTTCAGCTTCTACCCAGACCCCTGCCCTAAAGGAGGCTCTTGATCGAAAGAACTGGACTTAGTCTCCCCTCTCTTGAACTGAATCTGAATGCCTCTGAGGCGCTGTATAACCCTCACAGGGTTCCGCGCGCTTACCACGCAATATAAAACAAAATCAAACCCACACCCCCAGCGAACCCAGGCTGGATTAAAGTAACCATAAACGCGTCCGTTACCTCATAACTGTAGGATCCTAGGGATAGATCTACTGTGCAGTAATAACTCGCATGCAGACAGAAACTCAGGAGATTGATTGATCAGGTATATTTTCGACACCATCAACCCCCCCATTATTCTGGAATCCTCCCCTTCAGCATGTGTACGTTTCTTATTTATTTAATTTAATTTATTTATTATTTGAACTATACAGAAGTACAAGGAATATAATTTTTAAAGTGCAGCATGCCAAAGCCCCTTTGTACGACAGAGCATTATGGCTAGGTTTTAAAATTAACTTAAGAATTAACTAAGCAATGATAGTATACAGTGGTACAAAAATTACTAGTAACAGATACAATTAGTACAAATGATAGTAACTAGACTAGGTCATATGGTCATTTACTGTGATGCAGTGCTAATCAGTAGAATGGAGTATTCTGTTGGTTAGTGAAGTTCCAAATAGTAACAAAGTTTGATTGGGTCACAGATGACATTTATGAGATACAATAATGAGAAACATTATGAGATACTTATTCAGTATTTAGTTGTGTGTGAGTAAGTGATTTTGGAAGAGACTTGAATTTATAAACAGACAGTGTTTCTTTTATATACACAGGTAATGAATTCTAGATTTAGGGCCTATTATGTGCATTGAGTTATTGCATAGTGTGAATGGACACGAGGACATCAAGAGTGATCTTTGCTTTGTGTATAGGCATGTGTCTGTGAAGGTTGGGTAAGGAGACGTTTGAGGGGAGGGTTTATGTCCAGAGTTTAATTTCTAATGTATGTAGTCGGTGCAGTAATAAGTAGGATGTTTTGTATTGTGAGTAGGTTATAGAGTTTTTGAATATTGTTGGAGTGTGCTGTCTGTAGTGGGAATTTGTTATCAGTCTGACTGCAGCCTTTTGTTGGGTGATTAGTGGTCTGAGATGGTTTATTGGTTGTTGAGGCCCCATGCACAAATTACATAGGTAGGATAGGGGTAAATAAGTCGGAGTGATATAGGGGCCAGTAGGGCTGAACTGTGGAACATAGTAACCGTATATCGCGATGTATGCCACGGTCTTGGAATCTTTAGGGAAATTTGTTGTATATGTGTTTGAAATTTGAGTCTATTATCATCAAACACGTGTATCATCAGACATGTGTATCATCAAACATCAATGCCTGACAGGTTAAGACCTATCTGAAGCTTTCAGAATGTGTACCACACCCCCCTGGCCTCCCTGTAATGAGGGCGCTGAATACAATGTGAAAGTTTAGATTTTTACCTTTAAGTCGTATTACTAATGTGGTTCTTCTAATAAAAGGTTTTATTGTTATGATGTCAATTAAGAGTAATTAATTCAAGCTTGATTAAGCTTTTCTTTCAATTTCTAATAACTCGTCTGAGATTTTGTGGTCCTGTTTTATTTTTTAATCTATTTGCTCTGTGTTCATTGTTCCTGATGAATAATTAGGATTGACCTCTCCTCCGTCACGATGTTTCTCCATGTAAATAAATTTAGATAACCGACAAGTTGGATAAATGAACACTTGTGCGAATATCTTGGGAAGCTTTCATTCTGGAAAAGTTCACTCAGCCACTGGCGTCCTTCGGTCCAATCAGAGACAGGTGGAAGATGAGAATTGAGGTAATCATTTCAGTGATCACCTCAAACCCTCCTCATCTTCTCACATTAATATCTACAATTGGACTGCAAGAAGTAGCACTGCTAGCGAAACGTGTTCCAGAATAACAGATACCCAGAAGAGAATGGTATGGTGATACGGACAGAATGTGAAAAAAGATACTTACATCCTGAGCTGTACGTAAATGTCTTTTTCCAGATACCCAAATGTTGCACAATATGTGGCTAACGCGACGGATCAACGAGAGTTTTGATGAACTCTCTGATATCGCGAGTTCTATCCCCGCCCGTGTATGGTTTGTTTTGCAATCGTGTCACTTACATTTCATGAGTCAATAGAGTCTTCGTCTTTATTTCTCATCTTTTCACTATGTATCTCACGCTTTGACCCTATATTTCCTCTCTAAATGCCCCTTCTATCCGTACTCTCAGGGCCTTTTAAAATGGCTACTGAACTTGGTGGTAAGATTTTTGTTTACACTACACGCTAGAATTCAAAATATTTTTATTGAATGATTCTCACTTTTTTTTATGAGCTAATATATATTTTTTAATTATTTTTATTTGATGAACATATAATGTCTCTGAAAAAAGTGCCTGAGCTTTCATTAAGCTCTCTTTTGAGATTGAACTTGGTGGAGCTTCTGCGATGAACTTGGTGGAGCTTCTGCTTCCTCAGTCCACTAATATCCACTTTAACAAAACCAGTAATTGAAAACAATAATCCCCCACCTCCTTCTCTCATTCAATAAACTCCTTTCTTCATTCCACCCCTCTTTTCACCACATATCACTTTAAGCTCCAATCTCATTATTCTCTTTTTCCCCTGCTTTATTCATATTCTTCCTCCCATACTCCCTGCTCTTCATCCTCCACCCCACAATCCTTTTCTCCTTCACTTCTTTGCTCTTCTTTAGCTATTCCTTCATTTTAAATCCCCGGCGTGATCTTCCTACCACTCTTCCCTGATCACTCCTCCTCTTTGGCTCATTTCCTCTTCTATCTTTACACATTACCAACCTTATCATTTTCCTTCTGACTTCTCCTCCCATACTATCAGCACCATTCACTTATCCCAGAAACCTGAAACCAATCCTAATGCCTAAGACAGAACTAGACATCTAAGAACCAAGAAACGACAGTATGAAACATACAATCCTTATAAAGACAGTATGAACAGAAACTCATAAAAACAGAAAAGGGTTGAAGTGAGAAACCTTTCTGAGAAAATAACTACTGTATCACTCTTAGGAAGGCACCTTAGTGATAACAGAGTGACCTTTAAAGGTGTGACACTGAATGGTAAAGAGCCTGCAGAGTTTTGGGGAAATAAAGATACACAGATGTGAACATCTGGGTATCTTTATTTAGTAGACGTTCGCCAATCATGCTTTATTAAGACAATACACGGACAAATGATTGTGAAGAATTATATACGTAAGATGAGGCAATTAGTCCCCCACAGCCTAGGGACTGATTAACTTAATCTTAACTCAAACTTATCAAAAAATGGAAACACTAGACAAATGATAAAGCGATTTCTGTTGGTAGGAAGATTATGCAAGAGTATGCAAGAATGAAATACTTTGTACGTGGAAACCTTAATAAAAAAATACTCTGGATGGTCAGACATCCGTGATATGATGGAGAGCCTATCCAGAATGAATCTTCAATGAAAAGGCAAAACGTAGTTTTTGGTTTAAGAGAGCTGGAGAGAAGGCAAAAGGAGAAACAAACGAACATGGGAAATGCATATCACAGAAGACAAAAAAAAATGGGTAGGAAAATCGGAAGATGACAGAGAGAAATGCAAAGAAATGGGCAAAAGGTTTTATGAGGTATTAATTACTGAGGAGGCAGAGGAAACAGTCATGTTGCCAAAATAGCAGATGCAAAAAAGGGCCGTTCAACAGAAGCTAGACAGGCAAGAAGGTCATAAGCTTCTGAAAGAGCTGAATACAACAAAAACTGTGGGATATACACAAAAATTCTTATTATAATAATTGTATACATCTCTCATGTTCATGGACAGCAAGGGCACACATCAGCAGAACAGCGTCATCAGCATATGCAATCAAAGGAACCTTGGGAATTATTAGGACACCATATACGTACTACTTATGTCAGGCGAATCATAGAGCACCCAGCACTTACTTTGATCCCAAATTTAATCATGCATGAAAAGAAGTAATAGAAAGTACTTAGATTCACAACAAGACTGGTCCTGGAGCTGAAAGAGCTGAGATACTGGGGAAGACTGAAAGATATGAACCAGACAGCTTTAAAGACGAAGACAAGCGAAGACATAACATTACTGTGCAACATACTCAGAGGATATGTTAGATGGACAAGGACAAGCTGCTGAAAAAACGTCGGGA